GAAATCATTCTAACTTGTGTTCTGAGATCCGAAATAATGATGAATTTTTTGAGTACATTTTTAGGTAGAATGTAGGTATAACCCGTATCTTTGACATCATCCGAATTCACATAAATGTGTTGCGTTCGAAGATGGAGATTCGTTGAACTGATTGCACGTACACGCCATTCAGTGCGCGATGCGAACGTTTGACTCTGAAACAAACCATTTCACTTCAACTGTTATTCAGTCACGCAAATTCCCCGAACCAATATGCTCCATCCAAATTACAAGCTAAACCATTCATTCATTTACTGAAGTGAAAACAACGGAGCACAAACCTCATAATTACTTGTAGTTGCCGATATAATTTCATCGCCGTGCTTATTGACGGTTCGCGTTGTTGTTGCCGTCACCTGCAAATATAAATTCTCCAGCATTAAGTCACCACTTTTGAGGATGATACTTTCAGAAATCCACCAGACATCAACGATATCTTTTTGTTATGCTTCAGTTACTTTGAGAAAATGTCCGAAGCGAACGTAAAGTGAAAAACAACACAAGTATCATGCGTTACGTACAAAGTATTTTGCATAGATACTGTACACTTGCATGTGATATGTTTGACACAGATATAATAAAAATAATCTCAAGCAATAAGTGAACACTACCAAAACAGTATTAATTACAATGTGGATGCAAAAGATAATGAGAACAACAATTCACCTGACTCTGCTCCTTCGTCTGTTTCTCAATTTCAGCGATCTGTTNCACGCAAATTCCCCGAACCAATATGCTCCATCCAAATTGCAAACGAAACCATTCATTCATTTACTGAAGCGAAAACAACGAAGCACAAACCTCATAATTACTTGTAGTTGCCGATATAATTTCATCGCCGTGCTTATTGACGGTTCGCGTTGTTGTTGCCGTCACCTGCAAATATNATATGTTTGACACAGATATAATACAAATAATCTCAAGCAATAAGTGAACACTACCGAAACAGTATTAATTACAATGTGGATGCAAAAGATAATGAGAACAACAATTCACCTGACTCTGCTCCTTCGTCTGTTTTTCAATTTCAGCGATCTGTTGCCTTTGGGCAGATGGCGCACTGATTTCCATACCCAGAATGATGTCCCTCACTTCACTTTGCGTTAACGACGCAACGTTGACGTTATTCTTCTTACCGTAATCAGCTAATATCATATCTTTCAATGCCAATTCAACCTGAAATTTCACTACTACAGTTTCATTATTCTCTAACACGTCGTGCTGTTCATTAGAGAAGTTATTCACCGGAAAGAACAAAATAAACAATCTCGATGTGTTGAGAGATTTTTTTGTCATTTCCCGCATAACTCACTGAAATAAGTATGATCATACAGATGACTCGAGCATAGAGTCGCAATTTTTAAGCACAAAATATTTTGCATCACATCGGCACAAGTACAACACTTAATCAGTCGTTCAGTAGTGGAAGCGTGCAAAAAATGAAATTTGAAAAGGCGAACCTTAATCCATTCCTCATCACCCAACGACGGCCATATGTGATGCGGTTCGGTGATCGTCGTTTTGTCGGGTTTCAAGATCACCTTTGTCTTGTCCGGATTTATGTGCATACCTCGCATTATCAGAATAACTCGTGAAAACGCCGTGTAACTGGAGATCGTCTGAAAAGTAAATATTCAAAAATACAATACAAATAAATCAAATGCTCTGCTAAAAATCAAACGTGTGATAGTTCAAAAACAAAATTTCGATTTCTTTTTAATTGTCTCCCACATTCTCACTAAACACATCCACCCAGCTTCAAGCACATCGTTTTCATGCACACTTTCGATCTCACAAAGAATTATTTTTTCTATAGCACATCATCTTTGCGAAGAATTTAAGATACACAAGAAAGGATTGAAATGGAGAAATTTAAAAAAAATGAAATGAACTGATTCGGTAACAAACCTTTAGCCAATCGTCATAAAGATTGAACAGAACCATTTGCGGTTCAGTCGCTTTCAAAATTAAATCACCGAATTTCTCCACCTAAAATTCACAGTTGCGTTGCACGATCATAATTCGAACCAATTCATAAGAGAACTTCAAAATTTTAATCACCCAATACGATTATAAAAATGACTATATCCAAACCGGTTTTGAAAATTAACGATCAATAATTCAATGGAAACCTTCAAATGAATAGATTAGGATATCAAAAAAATGAAATAAGAAAAACGTGCCTTCATGATCGCTTGGAATGGCAGCATTAACT